TTGTGAATTTGAGAAATACTTGTGTTGAAGTTTGTGATTCCCGTAGCATGCACGTATGGTGAACCGTTATGTGATGAAGTCGGAGCATGATTTATTTATTGATTGCCTTCCTTATGAGTGGCGGTCGGGGACGAGCGATGGTCTTTTCCTACCAATCTATCCTCTAGGAGCATGCGCGTAGTACTTTGCTTTGATAACTTGTAGATTTTTGCAATAAGTATATGAGTTCTTTATTACTAATGTTGAGTCCATGGATTATACGCACTCTCACCCTTCCACCATTGCTAGCCTCTCTAGTACCGCGCAACTTTCGCCGGTACCATAAACCCACCATATACCTTCCTCAAAACAGCCACCATACCTACCTATTATGGCATTTCCATAGCCATTCCGAGATATATTGCCATGCAACTTTCCACCATTCCGTTCATCATGACACATTCATCATTGTCATATTGCTTGGCATGATCATGTAGTTGACATAGTATTTGTGGCAAAGCCACTGTTCATAATTCTTTCATACTTGTCACTCTTGATTCATTGCATATCCTGATACACCGCCGGAGGCATTCATATAGAATCATACTTTGTTCTAGTATCGAGTTGTATCATGGAGTTGTAAATAAATAGAAGTGTGATGATCATCATTCAATAGAGCATTGTCCCAAAAAAGAGAAAGGCCATAAAAAAGAAAGGCCAAACAAAAAAAATATAAAGGCCAAAAAAGGAAAGGCCAAATAAAAAAATAAAAGGGACAATGCTACTATCCTTTTTCCACACTTGTGCTTCAAAGTAGCACCATGATCTTTATGATAGAGAGTCTCCTATGTTGTCACTTTCATATACTAGTGGGAATCTTTCATTATAGAACTTGGTTTGTATATTCCAATGATGGGCTTCCTCAAAATGCCCTAGGTCTTCGTGAGCAAGCGAGTTGGATGCACACCCACTAGTTTCTTTTGTTGAGCTTTCATACATTTATAGCTCTAGTGCATCCGTTGCGTGGCAATCCCTACTCACTCACATTGATATCTATTGATGGGCATCTCCATAGCCCATTGATACGCCTAGTTGATGTGAGACCATCTTCTCTTTTTTTTTCTTATCCACAACCACCATTCTATTCCACCTATAGTGCTATGTCCATGGCTCACGCTCATGTATTGCGTGAAGATTGAAAAAGTTTGAGAACATCAAAAGTATGAAACAATTGCTTGGCTTGTCATTGGGGTTGTGCATGATTTAAATACTTTGTGTGGTGAAGATAGAGCATAGCCAGACTATATGATTTTGTAGGGGTAACTTTCTTTTGCCATGTTATTTTGAGAAGACATGATTGCTTAGTTAGTATGCTTGAAGTATTATTATTTTTATGTAAAAATGAACTTTTGTCTTGAATCTTTCAGATCTGAATATTCATATCACAAGTAGGAAGAATTATATTGAAATTATGCCAACTAGCATTCCACATCAAAAATTATCTTTTTTATCATTTACCTACTCGAGGACGAGCAGGAATTAAGCTTGGGGATGCTTGATACGTCTCCAACGTATCTATAATTTTTGATTGCTCCATGCTATATTATCTACTGTTTTAGGCAATATTGGGCTTTATTTTCCACTTTTATATTATTTTTGGGACTAACCTATTAACCGTAGGCCCAGCCCAGATTTGCTGTTTTATGCCTATTTCAATGTTTCGAAGAAAAGGAATATCAAACGGAGTCGAAACGGAACGAAATCAACTGGAGAAGTTGTTTTTGGAACGAAAGCCACCAGATAGACTTGGACTCCATGACAGGAAATACGGGAGGTGCTCACGAGGGTGGGGGGCGCCCCCGCCCCCTAGGGCGCGCCCCCTGCCTCGTGGGGCCCCCGTGGCTCCTCCGACGTACTTCCTGCACCCATATATATCGTCGTACCCTAAAACTTCCAGAACACACAATAGATCGGGAGTTCCGCCGCCAGAAGCCTCCGTAGCCACCGAAAACCAATCTAGACCCGTTTCGGCACCCTGCCGGAGGGGGCAATCCTTCTCCGATGGCCATGTTCATCATCCCGGTGCTCTCCATGACGAGGAGGGAGTAGTTCTCCCTCGGGGCCGAGGGTTTGTACCAGTAGCTATATGTTTGATCTCTCTCTCTCTCCCGTGTTCTTGAGGTGATACGATCTTGATGTATCGCGAGCTTTGCTATTATAGTTAGATCCTATGTTTCTCCTCCCCCTCTTCTCTCTTGTAATGAATTGAGTTTCCCCTTTGAAGTAATCTTATCAGATTGAGTCTTTAAAGATTTGAGAACACTTGATGTATGTCTTGCCGTGGATATCTGTGGTGACAATGGGATATCACGTGATTCACTTGATGTATGTTTTGGTGATCAACTTGCGGGTTCCGCCCATGAACCTATGCATAGGGGTTGGCACACGTTTTCGTCGTGATTCTCCGGCAGAAACTTTGGGACACTCTTTGAGGTCCTTTGTGTTGGTTGAATAGATGAATCTGAGATTGTGTGATGCATATCGTATAATCATACCCACGGATACTTGAGGTGACATTGGAGTATCTAGGTGACATTAGGGTTTTGGTTGATTTGTATCTTAAGGTGTTATTCTAGTACGAACTCTAGGGCTGTTTGTGACACTTATAGGAATAGCCCAACGGATTGATTGGAAAGAATAACTTTGAGGTGGTTTCGTACCCTACCATAATCTCTTTGTTCGTTCTCCGCTATTAGTGACTTTGGAGTGACTCTTTGTTGCATGTTGAGGGATAGTTTTATGATCCAATTATGTTAGTATTGTTGAGGGAACTTACACTAGCGAAAGTATGAACCCTAGGCCTTGTTTCAACACATCGCAATACCGTTTGCGCTCACTTTTATCACTTGTTACCTTGCTATTTTTATAATTTCAGATTACAAATACCTTTATCTACTATCCATATACCACTTGTATCACCATCTCTTCGCCGAACTAGTGCACCTATACAATTTACCATTGTACTGGGTGTGTTGGGGACACAAGAGACTCTTTGTTATTTGATCGCAGGGTTGCTTGAGAGAGACCATCTTCATCCTACGCCTCCTACGGATTGATAAACCTTAGGTCATTCACTTGAGGGAAATTTGCTACTGTCCTACAAACCTCTGCACTTGGAGGCCCAACAACGTCTACAAGAAGAAGGTTGTGTAGTAGACATCAGTATGCCGCCGAGGGGGTAGGGCGCGTCTCCCTGCCTCGTGGCTTCCTCGAAGCTTCCTGATGTCTACTCCAAGTCTCCTGGATTGGTTCTGTTCCAAAAATAACTCTCCCGAAGGTTTCATTTCGTTTGGACTCCGTTTGATATTCGTTTTCTTCGAAACACTGAAATAGGCAAGAAAACAACAATTCAGGCTGGGCCTCCGGTCAATAGGTTAGTCCCAAAAATAATATAAAAGTGTTTAGTAAAGCCCATAAACATTCAAAACAGATAATATAATAGCATGAATACTTCATAAATTATAGATACGTTGGAGACGTATCAACTGCTTATTCCCCCAAGAAAGCCATGCAAACCTGTATACTTTTGGAACCATTTTCACACCTAGCCAAGGGGGGTGGTCCCTGCTATAAAACCCCATCTCTCTCATCCTCTAGAAGACCCTTTTGTCAAACCATTCAGCTACAAGCTTATGCAGCAAGACTGCTAGAGAGATCCAAGAGTTCTTGCTACCTTTGCTCTTGTGAGTTCATCCGGATTCGCGAGAAGGAGCCTCTGGTTCCCCCTAGTTCGTGCTCTACGGTTCCAGCCGTTTTGTGTGGATTAGTCCCGGTTTGTGGTTCTGCGATTGTTCGGACAGCGGGTTAGAGTTTTTGTAGCTTCGGCCTGCCTTCCCCAACGTACGGGTTGCATCCAACCTTGGCAGGTATAAAGCTAGTTATCTCGGCTGCTTGCAGCTAGTTATCCCTCCCGATTCGATCCTACGATGTGAAGATCGGGCCACCCTCGCGCGTGAACTCGTTCATCGGGTTCCCACCTATCAGTCGTCCTCCGACGGCTCCCCTCTGCCGACAACCTCGGTCGTCGTTGGTGAGGGGGTTGCCGGATCCATACGTGTGGATCATTTTTAGGCCCTCGTAGTCTAGTTTTTTTAGATTGTTCATTGTCTTTGCTTAGGCGGTGGCGAGAATGACGTTGAATAAAAAATTCTTCAGATCCTTCCCCGACGAGGCGATTAGTCCAATAGTTGAGGATGAGTTTGAAAACCAGTTTGTTCAAGCACGGATGGCGTGACGACGATATCCTCGTGGTGGACTTGTGTCCTCGACTCCGTTGTTGCGACAGTGTTTGCTCTAGCGCCGGTGCGGAGCTTGGGAGGTAGTCTAGAAGCGGATGCAGATTGTGATTTGTATCGGCGGCGCATCTGGAAAATGTAGGTCGTCGGTTCATGGATGACGGGTATGGTTTCCTCCTCCGATGTTTAAGTTGCGCGGGACGCTAGATCTAGAGTTTAATGACGTGCCTGGTGTGTTGCCTCGTTCTAATTCGTTCAACGATAACGGTTTTGTCTTTGGTCGTCCACCTTAGAGGATCAGTGATAGATCCGTGTCGAGGTTGGCTAAGGAAGTGATCCGTTACTTTTTATTTTGTTGGCTGTTGTGGTGATGCCACGAAGCTGGTGCTGGTGTCAAGCTTAAAGGTTTCTTCGGTCTTGATTGTAATTAGCTAGTCTTTCTTAATGTAAAGATTAATGTTTTACAGTTTTTTCAATTTTATCAGATCGATGCGTATGTGACTTGTACTAGTATGGCATTTTTATGATATAAATGAGAAACGTATCATTGAACGGAAAGACTTTAGTGAACCAAAGCATAATAGGCGAGAGCACGCGAAGACACTCCACAAAATTATCTAATTTAATTTATTTCATCATCGCAATCCATTTATTTGAGTAGGTGGCGCCCGCGCGACACACATAGCAGCCGGCCTGATAATAAGCGGGGGCACATCCACACGAGCATCACGGCGCGTTAACGAAGGCGACGATCCTGTGGAACATCTCCTTGGCTTTGTCGCAGTCGGGCTTGAAGAGGTGGAAGACGTGCCCCTCCCCCATCGTCTCCAGCAGCTCGACCCCGTGCCCCTGGCCGCCCCTCGCCGCGGCCACGGCCTCCGCGTACGCGCGGCCGCGCCACCTGAGGAAGTCGCCCTCCGCCACGCACACCATGACCCTCTCGCACGCGAGCGTTTCCAGCCCCGGCGCGCCGGGCGCCATCGGGTTCATCCGCGCGTCGTCGATGCCAGTCGAGCCGGGGCACGCGAACTCCCACAGCCGCCCGCCCATGGCGCGCCACGCGGGGTTGCGCGTCTCCTCGCCGACGGCCTCGGAGCCCCAGAACCAGGGGTGGATCAGCACCGCGCCCTTGAGGCGCGCGGCGTCCGGCTGGATGAGGAGGTGGTGGCAGGCGTTGGCCCCGGCGCTGTCCCCGGCCACGAAGACGCGGCTCAGGTCGCCGTGCTCGGCGACCCACGGGTCGGCGGCCGAGAGCACCCACCCGAGGGCGGCGACGCAGTCCTCGTACGCCGCAGGGAGCGGGTGCTCCGGGGCGAGGCGGTACTCGACGGAGACAGCGAGGGCGGGGCAGGCGGCGGTGAGGCTGTTGAGGAAGCGGTGGCCGTTGGGCGACGCGACGGACTCGGCCACGAAACCGCCCCCGTGGACGTAGACGATGACAGGGAGCTTGACTGCGGCCATGGCCGCGGCCGGGGGCAGGTAGAGGCGGGCGGAGTAGTCGCCGAGCTGGACGTCCTTGGACTCGACGCCGGTGACGGGGTCGAGGCCGGCCGCCGCGGGCGGAGCCACCAGGGGCCGCTCGACGCGGCCGCTCTTGTAGACGCGGACGAGGCCGTAGTCGTGCGCCACCTCGTTGTCGTCGGGTGCGGCGTTGGACGCCATGCTCACTACAGCTAGTAGCTGCTGCTCTGGGCTGTGGCTGGGGTCGATCGAGCGCCGCGGTGAGGAGGACTATATGTGTTTGTTGTGCCGACTAGCAACTGAAGGCGACGTGGTATATTTCTCGGCGTCCCCAAGACTCCAACACCGCATCGGCAGCATTCGCGCGGCTGACGGCGAGTTCTCCGCTTCTAGATGGCCGGCACAACTTTTGGATTTGAACTCGGTGTGTTACTTACATCTGAAGTTCTGAGTCGAGGATTACTTGCCTCCGAAGACAGATCCTTCTATTTCTTATTCCTTTCTTATTTGCATTCTTCTAAGTTCTCGTTGCCATCTTCTCCCCATCTTCCTTTGGTCACCGAGCTGTCGTACATGCACGGGCTGGCCGGCTGCGTGGCATGTCTGTTACGGAGCTGCCTACAAAATACGTTACAACAGCAACCGATTGCTAGAGAACATCGGATATGGTCAAAACTAGCTGAATCATCCAAACACCCTGCAGATGAAGACAAACCGTGGCTCCATGGTTGGGGTTGGGTTGGCGCTTGGCAGTGGCCACCCAGCCCGCCCAAGATCGGGATCTACGTGTGATCTACCCATCGTTTATGGAGTGCATGTAGCTTTGAAGTTTCTCAAGACGTGTCGTGTATGGGTGTATCGATTGTAGATCTTGGTAGGCGCACAGCGGACGTGTGTTCTGTGTTCTATGACTTTATATCTATATAAGTGAGGCTAAATAAAACCAAAACCCCTGCAAATGATGCAACTCTAATTGAAGTTGAATAGGCAGCCTTTTATCAACAACAACAAAAAACCTACATGTATGAGTGGGTTATAAAATTTCCCATTAATCTCTACCCGAATTCCAGCCCCCCCCTCCCCTCCCCAATCCCCTTTTTCTTCCCAATCAAATCTTGTTATCTCATCATGTAACTCTAACTAGTAGAATGCATGTGCGTTGCTACGGGCTATCATTAATGTAATATAAATGAATCAAATAAATGATTAAGATCGTCTTAAAGATCAAAACTCATATCTCCCTCATACTTCCAGGCATTTTCGGACATCAAACAGGAGCCAAGCTGTAGCGGCCCGACCCGAATGGATCAAGTGCTCTGTGCTCAGGTGTCATCCCTGGATCAGTAATGCTGACACCACACAGTACATCAAAGGATTTATAGCAGAGTGGCAATCACACACTTATTACATCGTTGTCTCAAAGAGAACTTATTACAATAAATATGGCTTAAGGCCATCTAGTGTCGATAACAGCGGAAGACTTGAAAGATAAATGGGTCCATCAACTCCAACGGCATCATTGAGTATAGAACCACGACCTAAAAGCACCTTACTCGTCGTCTGAAAAGTCTGCAACATGAAAGTTGCAGCCCGAAAACGGGTCAGCACATGGAATATAACGGCAATGTAACACATAGAGAGTAATGGAATGAAACAGCTATACTATATGCATATATGGCTGGTCGAAAGCTCTATGGTTACAGTTTTGCGTAAAGCCAATTTTTCCCTACTGCAAAGGAATAAATTTATTTAACTAACATGGTGGTTGTTAAACATCGAGAATGGTTGACAACATTCCGATCCCAATTAAGTGAACAATTAAGCCCAACAATATTAATTAGAAGTAACATGATGAGATTCACATGATATTCAAGTACTAGATACTCAAGTTGTCCATAACCGGGGACACGGCTAATCATGATTAGTTTGTACACTCTGCAGAGGTTTGCGCACTTTTCCCCACATGACTCGATCGCCTTCGTTTGTTTTCTCGCACTATATGGTGTTTGAGAAACGGATGACCGAGACATAATCTTTCAGAAGCGCTAGCACCTTACATGTGGGGTAGACCGTACCACCTACAACCCCTACATCTGCTAGTCCACCCCGTAAGAGTTCGCACAACTTAGTCAACTATGCCAGAGCCCATAGTAGCATGTGGCTGCACACGGAAGTGTCTAGCATGAATTATCTTATGATCCCTTTGAGTCTGGGTGGCGGTCCAAAATAAAAACAGGCAAGTCCTGATAGACATCAGGTGCCTCAATCCACCCAGATGTGTGTTTAAGTTGCCACCTTAGATAAACCATTAAAATTATCAACTCACATCTGTCATGGATATCACTCACCCAATCCACGTCTACTAGCATAGCATGGCATAAAAAGCAAACATAGAAGTAACTCCCAAAGGTTTCATAATAATACAGGTAATAGGTACTACCTCATCTACTTCCCATCCCACAATTTAATTAGATCCTAATCATACAATGTGTGAGGATTGATCTAATGCAATAAAACATGGGTTGTAGAAAATGTATGATCAAAGTGTTACTTGCCTTGCTGATGATCCACGAGACCTAGGGTTTCGAAGTAACAGGCGGCGCAATCCGGGTGATCTATCGCAGACAAACAACAAGCACACAATAAGTACTCATCTAATGCACAGGTAAAACTCGAACAAGAGAACGAACCAGAAAGTTCAACTTAAGAACTCCGGTTGCAAAGAAAGAACGAACCGGGCAGACGACGGAAAACCAAACGGCGGAAGAAAACAACTCGGTTCTAGCAAGTTGAAACTAGGTCAAATTTTATTGTAGCAAAAGCTTGTTCAAGTTGATTAGACGGAACGGCGGTTTCGAGACGAAACTCCAGGCGCTTGAATCACCTGATTCCGATAAACGAGCGAGAAGAAAGACTAGAACGAAGATCGGATCTGAGATCACGATCGCGGAATAAATCCGACGAAAAGAAAAAGAAGAACGATTAAACGAACGGGCGTCGTTAACCGGGAAAAGAAAATAGGTGATCACGTTCGTTGAGATGAACGGTCCGAAAGAAGAACGAAAACCGATCTAGGGTTTTCAGAAAAGAAACCGAAAAAGAAACGGAAAACTAATCTAGGGTTTCGGAAGAAAACCGAAACGAAAAACCGGAAAGAAAACCGGAATGGTTTAGAAAAGAACCGGAACGGTTTAGAAGAAAAACCGAACCGAGGGAAGAAAAAGAGACGCGGCGCGGGGCAACCTTGGCGAGGGGCTCCGGCGAACGGCGACGTAAGGCGGCGGCGGCGACGTAGGGCGGCGGCTTACGCGCGGGGCGGCGCGGCTATGGCGGCGGCTAGGGGCTGCGTGCTGCTGCTTGCTGCGGCTTAGGTGGAGAGGGGGACTTGGGATTTTGATGTGAGGAGAGGGGGGTGTTGGTATTTATATTGGTGAGGGAAGGGGGTTTCTTGGCGTAGGGGACAAGAAATAGAGTAGGAAAAGGAAAGAAAAAGAGGAAACGGAGTAGGACTAAAATCCTACTAGGAATCAAAAAGGGGCGGCGGCGGCTCCTGCCTCTGGCGCCTGGCGCGCGCGATGGCCTGGCGCGGCCGGCTGCCTACGCTGGGGAGGCGGTGGCTGGCCTGGGCCTTGGCCCGGCTGGCCTGCTGGATTTTTTTTAAACGGTTTCGCGCGCAGAAAAACACAGAAAAGAAAATCTAAACGGGCTCCAAAATTCTAAAGTAAATTTTCCCCGACTCCTAAAAATGAGTCGAACAAAATGAACTTTTCTCCGGGCCTAAAATGCAATTTTTTGAAAACACGCATTTTTCCCTATCCAAATAAAAAGCAAACAAAACTCCGGCAAACAAAATTTGATCTATTTATTAAATCTTCATTTTTCCTCAATTTTGGGAAAGTCATATTATTCCCTCTCTTATATTTTTGATATCGGAAAAATTATTGAAGATGAAATAAATAAATCAAAGGATCCTCTTTTCAAATTCGAGAAAACTCTCAAATATGAAAATAACGAAATCTCCAACTCTCTTCGAAGGTCCTTGAGTTGCGTGAAATTTCTAGAATCAACCAAAATGCAAGAAAAATATGTTATGCATGATGATCTAGTGTATAACATTCCAAATTGAAAATTTGGGATGTTACAAACCTACCCCCCTTAAGATGAATCTCGCACTCGAGATTCGGGTTGGCTAGAAAATAGGTGAGGGTGGTCCTTGAGCAAATCTTCTTCTCTCTCCCAGGTGGCTTCATCCTCTGAATGGTAGTTCCACTGAACTTTACAAAACTTGATAACCTTGCTGCGAGTAACTCTGCTGGCAAAATCGAGAATCTTGACTGGCTTCTCCTCATACGTTAGGTCGTCCTTCAACTGAATCGCTTCGAGTGGCACGGTATCTCTTAGCGGTACCTCCGCCATCTCGGCATGACATTTCTTCAACTGAGAAACATGGAATACATCATGAACTCCTGACAGCTCCTCTGGTAATTCCAACTTATAAGCGACTTCTCCCATACGTTGCAAGATCTTATACGGTCCAAGGAAACGCGGTGCTAATTTTCCCTTAACTCCAAAGCGCTTAACTCTTCGAAGTGGGGATACTCGAAGATAAACTCTGTCTCCAGTTTCGTAGACTGTCTCCTTGCATTTGGAATCTGCGTAGTTCTTCTGCCTGGACTGGGCTACCTTGAGCCTATCGCGAATCAACTTAACTTTCCGTTCAGACTCCTTAATCAAATCTGGTCCAAAGAATTAACGGTCTCCAACTTCGTCCCATGACAACGGTGTCCTGCACCTCCTTCCGTATAAGGCTTCGAAAAGTGCCATCTTCAAACTGGTTTGGTAACTGTTGTTATAAGAAAACTCCGCATACGGCAAGTTATCGTCCCAGCTAGATCCATAATCTAGTGCACAAGCTCTCAGCATATCTTCCAGAATCTGATTGACTCTCTCGGTCTGTCCATCTGTCTGCGGATGAAAAGCTATGCTGAACTCTAGTCTGGTACCCAAAGTCTCATGCAACTGATTCCAAAACTTTGAGGTAAATTGGGTTCCTCTATCTGATACGATACTCCTCGGAACTCCATGCAAACAAATGATCCTAGTCATGTATATCTTTGCCAACTTAGCACTGGTGTAAGTGGTCTTAACTGGAATAAAATGTGCTACCTTTGTCAAACGATCAACTACTACCCATATCGAGT